GGCATCGTATTCCACAAAAACAACGATAGAGCCTATTCGCCTCAAAGGGAATTCCGCTAAAAACTGTGGCGGCTTCCGATGGATCGGTATCCGATTTCTTATCACATTTTGTCATTACAAATGCGAGTAACGATCATTCAAATATAATTTCATCGAAACGGATTTTGGCCACGCCTTCTCAAAATATGCTGCCCCTTGTATACATTTTGGTAGAAATGGAGACAGAGTTTGAATCAAAACTATAGGACTCTTCTGAATATCAGTAACTCTATAAAAATCATGGCCACTCAAGGAATTTGTCAACCATTCAGTTCTAATGCCTCAGGAAAACTGAGTCTTAAGAATGAAGGAGTTCGATGGGAAGGGCATCGAAGCGATTGAAGCCTTTCTAACTTCCTGGGATTGAAATTTAATTAGCAAAATTTCGAAAATAAAGGACAAAAAACTATGGTGAATATTAATGGCTTCCCAAATTCATTGCGAGTTAAAGAATTTTACGACATCATGTGACATTTTCTACGGCGAGAGCGCCTGGATCATACGGAATAACTGGAAATTGGAGAAATAATTGGAATAAATGAATAGAGTGAAAAAATTGAAAAGCCTGTAACTGGCATATGGTAACGGTTGGTCAATCTAGAACTAATTGAACAATTGCATTGTCACACTTATAATCAGGCAAAATGATCACTACATTAGCCAAGGGTGTGACAAAAGATCCACTTCCAAGGTTGTAAAAAGTAGAAATCTTCCAGGCTTCCAGAAGTGACCACCCTGCTGAGAAATTAATCGACTTATCTGCCTGGCACCGTAGATATGGTATCCTGGCAACTGACAAGGGATTAGCCTTGATATTTGATGAGATTGGAACGGAACGCCACACAAACCCCCCTTCAATCCAGTGGGAACGAAGTTACTTCCTACGCTAATACGGCTCAACAGTTAGCCTTCCTACCTGGTTTTGCTATTACAATTTGAGAGTTCTAAGAGCAGTTTTAATCAGCACATGAAGTCCTAAAAAGCTTTGAAAACTTGCTGGAAAGCTTCAAGAAGAGTTAGCGGCAACCTACTGCCCTTTTTTAACCTGAAAAACAGTTTTTAACGGTTTGACGTTGATGAGAGAAAGACATCTACTTAATGGGCAAAAAGTCAACATTATTCAATGTCCCGTGGGAAGATATTGTGATTTTCCCGGAAGAAGGAATACGCCCAAACTCGAAAGAGGGTAGGGAGAACAGGGCACTAAAGAATGAGGGATTTGGTACCTAACGGCGTGACGCAGTCGCCCATGATAAAGGTCGGATCTATTTTTTGATTGCAGATTATGGTAATCCCACGAAACCACTCCCACGTGCATTACCGCGGCGGTAGGATTCTGGCTCAAACTCCGCTACCCGGACACACGCTGAACCGTATCGTCACGTCAACTGCGACCACTGGGCTTAACGCGAAGCATAGGACTTTATGATGAAGGAACTAATTCTGATGGGTGGTGTCTGCTCGCCCCGAGCTCTGGCGGTTGGCAAACAGGAACCTGTTGCCCTCTACCCGTATTAGGGTTTATCTCGTATTAGGCAAGGAGTCGAAGACCAAATGAGCCTTGGTCTGATCCGATTTTGTGTTGACCGTTGGATAATAGCAAATAATAGCAACCAGCTGCTTAAGGGTCTGCCTTCAGACGAACATCAGCTCAGACCCTCATGATTCTGAAGCTTTTAGGCTTCTGACGGCTTCCAAAAAAAGGAAAAAGCACATCTTGAGTAAGCTAGTTAGAAGTGCGCCACTAGGTTGCGCCTTCGAATCGCCTCAATGGGAGAGGAAGGAACGAAAACCACGCTGACGCAGCTGAAAAAAATTCGATCATGAAGGGGATGCCAGGTGAGGCGGACTGGATTGATGACAGCCAGGAGAAGACTGGGCTGTGATATCTTAGGATCATGAACAATTGGTCATCACCTAATTTTCAGTGAACCCTGGGATGGTAGGTTATGACTGAACCTCATCAATTTTTGCCCAATTTTTCACACAAGACAACTAGTGAGTGCGATGTCGCAAACGTTACCAATCAACTATTTTTTTCCTAAAACTTCAGTCTGGAAAGCGAGAAAACAAGATGATTTTGTTCCTATAGGATATGTTGGTAGCGAGCTATGATGTATCCATTTTTAAAGCACTGCCAACAATTGAAGGGATTCCCGTTGCCAGGCGGGTCAAGCAGCGGCAGAGCGGAGTGGTCTTACGAACTTTGGATTTTGGAGTCTCCAGCAACTTGCTTGCCTTTCTTAATTATTAATATGTTTGAGCTATTGTTACATTTGCAGTTCCTGGTCTTTTTTCCTTGCTTTATTCTTAACCTATTCATGGTAAACCTTTGCTGGGGCACTGAAACTGAACGAAGAAGAAAACATCTATGGTGAACAACTTATAAAGTGAGCGGCCATTCCAAAAATAAACAAATAGCAATCATTAAAAAGAGCTGGGAACACCGAATCTGAAAACTTCAATATTGATAATTTCAATTAATTCCGTATTCCAAGGCCTGAACATACATTTTCAATTCATGAGAGTAACTGTAATTAAAAATTCACCATGGTCACAAAGAGCTCCAAAATACATATATATAAATTAAAAAAGAATACTACAGTACTCTTAATAATCAGCAGTAATACACAAATAGACATTTTGCTGGTTATTGTTTTCTTCGCGTTCCGTTATTTCTCATTATCTTCCATTAGTATCATCGATGATTTCTTATCAGGTTGATAGTTAGAAGCAATTAATTATAATAATTGAGATACTTGGAATAATATGCCTTTGGTGCAGTTTTATTATGAAATGATGGATGAAAATACCATCATTACCGATAATCGATTTAACTTATCAGTTCCCAATTTTTACCTAGCCTTCTGTTGGGACATTGAAAATATAGGGCTCAATTGACTGCTACATTCAAAATATAATAAATAAATGAGATTTTCCAAATTTGGGATAAAATTCAGAAAACAGTCCATCTGTAGCTTAACTTACCCTATACATACTAAGATCTATTCGAAGGCTATTATGAAGTTGATCCAGCAGTTTCACAAAACGCTCCTTTCCGAAATTCGACGCTGCGAATCGGTCCGAAGCTGATACTGCCGAAGTAGCCGTAGTGTGTGCATAGAAGCTAAAACGAAAATATGGTATCATATGATACCAACGCATGATTCTTGATATCCCCTTCTTCCTTTAGAAAGTTTTGTATCGTCAACTATAATATCAACATCGAGCCCTCAGCAGTAGTCGCAGTCATTTAAAAAACTCGAGATATCTCATGATTTCGCATCATTATGGACTCATGAATTTCATCAAACTTTTTATGAAGACTTCAAAAAAACTAACAATTGAATAATAATTCAAATCGCGTCGCTATGCCTTCCTTTTCCACTAATTTTCCACATTTGTCCATCAAATTAACGGGGATTGACAAGCGTCAAAAATCTGCCATCTCCCAGATTACCATTAAGAAAGGTAACCGGTTATGGGGAAGTGAATTGGATTGTTTTCACACAACAAATAAATAAATAACAAGAAAAAACAACTAACGCATTTATATTGGCAAGCAAAGTAGAAAGCACGGCTGGCACTCCAACGCACATGTACCTTGTGCAGAGGCAGGCAAAGTGTGTCATCGCCTGCAAAATGAATTGTATATGGGAAAAGAACTTGATTGAACAGGTAAACTAGTTTTTTTAAACATAAATTCTCCATGTAGTCTTGTTGGGACCTCGGAGGGATGGACTGTGAGGTCTTTATGAAAAAGATAAGCTCAGAAAAATGAAGCTTCTACGATTAAAGTCATATCCTCTGTCCCTTACGATCTTCGAAAATAGTTTATGATAGTTTCAAAAGTCCTAATTCGCAATAAAACACGGTAAGCTAAAAGAAAAGAGGCCTAGATTCATTTAGTAGATCCGATGACTTGGGAAAGGCCAGTTATAACAAGTATCTGGCCATTAGGTACGAATTGGTTAGTTAAGCGAGTTCTGACACTCTCAGCTTTCTGAACAAGCAACCCCGTGGGTTACTATAGCAATCAGTACTAACCTGATATATACTCTCAATACCGTAACGCATAGCAAATTCTTCAACAATTTCCTGTCCGACATCATCAAAGTAGATCTTCCAACTATCTTCTCCTTTCGCATCCGGTAACCGAATCTCATCATTCTCGATACACATTGCCTGGAAACAACAACAGTCGCCTAGAGAATATTGTGAGACACGGAGTAAACAAATAAATATAAATTAAACAAATTAATAGATAAACAAGTAGACTCTTAGTTGAAAGAACGAATAAATAATTGAAGCGATTAGCCTTAATTGAATTGCACTTCAGATTTCCCTTCCGTTGATACAACACGGTATTGAGTGGGTAATTGGTGTATTTATGGGACAAGTGGAGCTAGTCGATGATCAGACCAGAGCTACATTCCATCAGATGAACATGGCACTAGCAAATCGGCCCGGAAGAGAGGGTGGGAAAGGGTTCATGGCTTCATTGGAAATGTAGTGGACTTCTAGCGATTCTTATCGATAAAATGGTCTTCCACTAGCCTAATTTTCAATGACCGGCAGGATGGGTCACGGGAAAGGGCGTAGTTGACATAGTAAGATGCGCAGAGGTTCGGCTTCTCGCACTGCCGTACGCGACAGAATCGGAACCTAATAGGACGCACCTCTGCTACTGAATCATTTTTACCCAAAATTGTGCATAACAAAAATCAAACAAAACATAATTTAACAAAATGTTACTGATAGTATAATGATGAAAGAATTACCTGAAAAAGATGTTCATGTAAGCATGTATACTGTACATGATACGAGGCAAGTTTCTCTTCTCCCTTGATTTCAACCGAAATATGCAACCGAATCGCTCCCGAAACAGCCGACTTGTCGGTACGTTTTTCTGAAAGACATATTAATCACTTTTTTACTGGAAAGTTCTATCAGTAAGCAACGATGGATCGTTCTATCATCCTCATCTAACTTATGTTATGTATTCATAGAACTCGTCTATCATCGTCCATTTTTTCCTCTATAGCATTCACGTGGAGCAGGATCATCAATCACGGGCTGAATGGATGTTCAGAAGGAAAAGGCAAGAAGAATTGTTGCTGTTCCTTTTTATTGGCCAACATTCACAGAACAAAAACTTTGCCTTAGTCTATGGATGGGACTGGTTCTAGAATATCAGAGATCTGCTTGTGAAAATATCAGAGTTCTGTTTGTTGCTATAGGCTTGGCGATCATGATCATAACCCCATGTCGCGATTATATAATGTATAACTAGGGGTTTGGATAGGAAACGCTAGTGCAAAATTATTCGCCACAGATTAAAAAAAAGCAAAAAAAGAATCTTAGGATCCTATTTGTGGAAGACCCCATTCTCATACTTGTAGGAGGGTTCGGTAAAATCCATCTTCAAGCCATTGAGCATGAGTAGGTTCCAACGCGTCTACAGAGTTATATAAAGTAATGTATGATAATTTTATTATCCCAAGCATCAGTAATCCTATTCAGCGAACCTAATTTGATGAATAGGATTCAAGAACTCGATTTCATTCTAATTGGCTTGAAATAAACCTCTTTTTGTGATTTCCAAGAGCTTTCAGAAAAAATCATCAAGATTACTTGCAACTATTGATTAACTTTATAAAAGAAAAAGCGAATTTACGGTTCTGAGGAGCACAACTCACCCAGATTGTACCATACGTCCATCTCTCCCGATAGGGTTCGGACCTCGATTACCGTCTGACCAAGGAAATCATCACTTTCTCTCGTCAATTTCTGTCGCAACTTCGATTTCAGATCATTGTCCTCGTCCCATACACGAACTTTTATGCGATCCGTGGAGTTGTGGCATTCGCTGAATAAATTGGCTGGTTTGCAAATTCATGGCATATTCAACTGAAATGAAATGCTGTACAACGAAATATCTAATTGTCTGGAGGCTCTCAGGGTAATCTGCAGTTAAATTCATTGTCAGTCCTGTTTCCGTCCTTCCAAGGAATCCAAACCTGCGCTCAAGCTATTCGACCAGCTTCCTTACCCACTACACCACCGAAGGTCTACCCACATGACCTTTCCCCACTTTTAATACAGCAGTATACCTTGTTTAGTTGCCAAGCTACCAGAAATTACTGATGGCTGCCCTAAATTAGGAAAAATTGAGACACTTACAAGAAAAACTTCTCATTCCATACTGGATTCAGCTCTTGATGTATCGTTCGCGTTCGCCTTTTCACTTTACCAACCTCAAACGAGAACTTATAGTCAAAGTTATCTCTTGTTTCGTAAATACACTAGTAAACATAAACAACAGTAAACATAAATAGTAATCAATAGGTAAAGAAGCAAACAATCAAAGGTCATTATTACCTGTGCTGTAACGTATGGATCACTTTTACCGGTTTTATCCTTAGCAATCAGTCCTTGTGCGCAGATAACTAAAAAAAATGATGTAAAATCATTTTTCCATTTTCACATGAAAAAGTTCTCAGAAAGGTCTCCAAGTTCTCTTTCAAATTCTATTTATTTTGAGCTCGGACGAAATGTCGTGCCATTTATGGTACTCTATCTAATCTGACTTGGCGTTAATCCGGTGGCGTCACAAGATCAGGTGCCCTTATAGGTAATCGCCATTTTCATCTACCTACGGCATCTTCTGTCAGCATTTTATTCTAGGGGGATCATTCTTGAACTCGTCCTATTGTGTCTTCTTAGGGACTCCTACGGGTTGCTTACCCCTGAACACGAAATCTCAAAAATATCGGGTGGTTTACCGTTCTTCTCCATACCAGCGCAGGCGGTGGTGTGGAGAGGACCTCTTCGGCTATACGGTCGAATGACCAGCCCAGCCTCTTTTCAAAGTGGCTCAGTTACCTCTAACCCCAGACCCACATCAGCAGCCCCATTTCAGCGAAGAAAAGATCTCCCTCATAGTCCTGCCCGCAATTCTCTCAACCCCTCATCGAATGTGGGCGTCAAATCCGAAACTCCGCTACTGCACTACTCGAAAACAACTGGGGACCATTAGAACATGAAGCGACGTCGTCGAATTAGCTATGGCCGATTCGCCGAATACTTACGGACTTGAATAAATCATAAAGTAAATAGGTAACAGCAATTGTTGCGCTCTCGGGACACATGACTAAAAAACCAAACTAACCAGTCAGGGTGATCTTTGCACTCCATTTACTGCTCCCTTCCAGAATACTCGTCTTGATCTGCTTCAAAGTCTCTTGTTGTACCCGTTCATCAACATTGAATGTGTTACTGAAAACAAGAATTTTCTTTCGATTTGAATAACCACCAAAATACCGTAATCCATACCGTATTGTCTCGAAGATTTCCGGTTTGTTCTTTTCTTGAATCTTCATACGATCACGTATAACTGCCACCAACGATTGTATTCGCTCGCCCTCACCATGTTTCGAACTTTTCTCGGCAGCTCCTAAAATCAAAGGGAGTATCCAACTCTGAGGGTCCCATCCCGAATTCTCAACACAATTTGAACGCAAGCGAACAGAGGGAGGCCTTCAGGATATTATTTTGAAAACTCGGAATTTTCAAAAAAAAAAAAGTTATCATAAGTATTATCCTACTTGACGATATTCACTACTTAGGCATCTAACTCTTTCCTGATTGCCTAAAACACTACCAGCTCATGGAATGGCGAATGGTAATTCATGGCGTTCAACCCCTACATCCTGTGGGGAAGGAGTAAACGGCAGTAGAAATTGGTAAATGCATGTTCAGCTGACTAATCAACTGAATTATTGATAAGCTAATTTAATTAAGAATATCATTTCAGGGCTCATGACTACATCAACTATGCACCGAAAAAAAAATCACCACATCGACATCAGAAACTTTGCAAAGGAAGCTTCGAATCTTTTTCTATCATTCTAGATATCCTCGCAGAAGATTTCGGAATAATCCTCAGAATTTTTATTACTTCAGGTTTTTTCGCAGTGGATTCTGAAGTGATTCCTCAAAAAATTCCTTTCAAAAACATAAGACAACACATAGTAATTAATTAAAAATACCATCGGAATCAAATGTGGAAGGATCAAATTTTCGTTAAGTAAATTAATAATTAAGTTTATTTCCTGAGGAAGTTTCAAGGAAGAGTTTTCTGATGGCTGAAATTGAAATCGAATAATAAAGGAAACTTTAGAGTAAAACAAAAAAAANNNAAAAAAAATTAACTTCCAAATACTAAAGATACAAATGACCGAAAAACTATTGCTACATACAAACTGACTACTACTGAAAGCGAGCGGGAAATAAGAGGAGCTGGATCATTTGGAACATTGCCAAAGGCTCGTTTAGCCAAAGAAAGAAAAAAACAGGATGTTTTTTGAACTTACTTTGTAAGCAATCAGCGCTGAGCAGTTCACGACATTTTTCATGGACCTTCACACCACATTCAGTACAGCGCAGTCCTATAATTGAACATAATTTTGTTTCAAGCTGTGAAAAATGTAAATTTTTTGAAAGTCGAATATTGAGAACTACTGAACATACCTTGCCTAGCCAGTCCCCACAACAGCCCTTCACATTCGTAGCACCAAGTGGGTGTTTGGAAGTTTGTTGTTTGGAAGTTATGCGGAGTGGTACAACTGATCGGATAGATCAACGCTTGCAGACACTTTCGATAAACATGTTGTTTCTAAACAGTGAACAGTAATCTGGTCGTCTTAAAGGGTTCTCCGTTCAGGTAAAATAGGCTTGAAAACGCCTGAAAGTTACAGAAGGAACAGCAATAGAGTGAAGAATTACGGTACACTATCGCTATTCGTTTTAGATGCAAAATCGCATGGCTGATACCGTAACGTCCTTGTTAGGAGAGGCCTGTGCTAGGGGTCCGAGATAAAGCGACTAGAAGAGGGTGCTAGCTTCTAGAAGCAGCGCTGAGCACTACAGCCCATAATGTTCTCTCCAATCGGACTCTCGCTGGCCCTCTCAGCCAATTTTCTCATATGCATACACAGTTGGTGATTTGTAGTATGGGCATTATGTGGTAGTTTCAAAGAGGCAGTCGATAAAAAAGGGTCCAAGTAAATACAATCATCTCAGTTCCCACATACATTGGACATCTATATCATATGGTGATTCCTCATCCCTCCCAAACCCTGCAAGTTTTGCAGGTAATTTATTCTTCAAACCTTGCATTTTTTCAAGTGCGCGTGACACTTAGGCATTCTGTAGCACGCATCTTACAGTACACCACGGACGAGTATGTCAAAAAATTTGTAAAAAACGGATACAGTTCCACGAAGTACCTATGGAGTGTTACTGTAGCAACGAAGTCGTGCTTCTTATAGAAGAAGTTCACGTCACCTAACAAGAAACAACCCACAGAAAACTTTTTCGGAAAACGATGGTGATGGCCTTTGAGATTCCCAGAAAACATTGACGATACACTCATAACATTAGGTGATTATTAGAAATTGAAGGCTAGGAAGCGGTTTTATGCCTGATTATCAGGTACCGAGGAAAAAATGGATCGGAGCTCTTCGAAAAGTGAGCAAATTTGCCCGGAAGTCACAGTTTTTTCAGCGATGCGCTTTTCATGATAAATTTTCCCGAAGGAAACTTCAAATGTTGCTAAATTCTTAAGGAAGATGATTTTAAAAAAATACTTGGGAGAGGTTACAAAAGACTCGTCGGAGCAGAAACAGGGTGATTTTATGAAAAAACCCAGCGTATTAGCATTTTTGGCGATTTTCCTGATGAATGTTTCCAAATCGACCTGACTGGTCAAAACTGACCAATTCCTCGTCTCCGAAAGTCGTCTTGGCAGCGTTGGCAAGTCCGGCCTGAGCTCTTTTTGTGGCCATCGTCTAAATCGCAATCATCTTTCTTATTCAAAAAATCAGGAACTAAAACAAAGCAAAGCATCTAGGGTTAGTAAGCTGCAGCTAAAAAATAAAAAAAAAATTAGGAAAAACGCAAAAAAGCTTGTTAGTACATGCGGGTTAATGTTAGCAAGAAGAATTCTCTCAAACAAAAGACTCAAAAAAAGGTTAAATCGCAACACTTACTAAAAAAATACTTTTCTCATGCTCAAAGACATCTTCACGAGGAAGAAATTCAGGGGGCGAGTAAATTAGACAGTTAGCAGGAGGGTAAGTAACAAAGAAATCTTTCCAATTAAAAATAAGTCAAACCAAGGGAATTTTGGGAAGAAAGCATGCTACTTATTATGGCTGACGATCATTCTGCCATTTTAGAAGGATTTCAAGCAGTAGAGCAAGTCATAGGAACCGAGAGAATCGAACATGATGAAGAATATGGTATCGATTGGTGCGCGTAGGCATTACGATCCACACGAATCTATATCGTATTCTCCATTACGCCCAAACTTTTCTTCTTAAGACTCCCTCTACTGCTTGCGATACCTCAGAGTCTGATTTTTGGCTCATGAGACGACTCTGCCCGTTTCAAAAATAATCAGAAATCATTTTTGTTGACATTTCCAAGCCACAAGTGGGGTCAATAAAATTTCTTGGAACTTTGAAAGGATCGATCAAGCCATACAAATACTTCCTCAAAAAAAGCAATTCAGGGTCATGCATTACCGTATACGGAATTTGACGAACTCCTTACCTTCAAAACCTGAAAACACAATTTGTTCTAATCAATATGCACGCAATCAATAGATCCGTCTGTAAAAAGAGGCCTAAAGCATCGGAGAGACCCGATTGTAGATCTCTTTCTTTCCTACAGTAATCTACTATCAATCGATAACTTACAAGCTCTGAAACCAGTGGTATGCTTGTTTTTGTTCTGGCCACATTCATGTTAGGTGCTGCATCGATGCTCTTATAGAATGCATTGGCCGCTGCCGAACCATTCCCATCGAGTACTGTCGACTAGAATACGTAAACAATAAACATAAACAGAAGGAAACAAATAGAACCCAGAAATTGGAAACTAAATAAAACAAAAAAAATCTACTTCAGCACCATGATATCACTAATGATTAAGTAGTGGTAAGTAGCGGTAACGGTATTATTTTTGATTTACAGCTGATTTCATGATTTTCTAGAGCTTTTGCCATAGCTCAATTTTCATATACTCATAAATCTTTTACAATATTGTCTATTCACAATCGTAGCAAATATCGAGTGCAATCACTTGCAACCTACCGTATCCCTTTGAAATACAATTTATTAGAATACAATTACACAGCTAAAGTTTTCCTGGAAAGCTTATATAACTTGGAATAAAAAAGGATTTTCATAGCTGAATACCTTGCATTCAGTCTAACCTTCTAGATACAGTTGATCACAATAGCCAGTATAAAGCACAAAAAAATGAGATCCAGGGAGACCTTTACCAATTACCACCAATTATCATCGAATATCAACTATCACTACCACAAGCTATCATAAATTATCACTATCAAAAAATACGATGGAAAACTAGGTGTAACCTAATTTTTGATATGAATTAAGACCTTTTTGTCCAGAAGCTTTAAAACTCTACACTAGAATCTTACATCTTGTGTGTTCTTATCCCTCTAAAGTCCTTGTTTACCCATTGTACAGTAATCTACAGTAATGCTACCAGCAATGAAAAATGATTTTAGAAACTATTTACCGAAACAACAAAAGCATAAGTTATAAATTCTGACAAAAAAATCCACTCACCAGGAACCTTCTGCCACTTCTGTATACATCTGTAAGGAGCGTTTTAGGCCGAGGCGTTGGCTTTGGACTGGCGGCGGCATTTTTAGGAGCTTCAAGTTGTACTGAGACGCTACGTTGTCGCACCACAATAGATATGCCTATGTCCCGTAGTTCTGGACATGATTTGGAACGCTTGAATTTCGTACGACGCCGTCGCCGACGTCGCGGACCTGCTGTGCGCGCACGCCGTACCTTCTTGAAGCTTTTCGAGAAGGCCAGCAGCGCACGCGCCCGGTCCACATCACGTGCCATTCACCACCTCCACCACAGTTGCACCATCTGATGTAAATTGGAATTGGGTTAGGTAACGTAAGGCATCGGCTCCGAATAATTGCCGTTCTAGAAAGAAAAAGAGGAGAGCGATGAACGGAAATCGTTGACTCAGGCCGGAATTAGCTATAGCGCTCAAAGGAAGCACAGAAAAAGGGAGGGCTTGGAAAGATAACAAGGGCTGAGAAGTAAATCCGAACTCAAGTCCGTATGATATCATACTGAAGATATCAGGTAAAATGGGATTCCGAGAAGAGGATACATAGATTGAAGGAGCAAAACGAAAAAAGCATGACAGCTGAGAATGATCCCCGCAGATTCGGCAAAACGGAAATAGTCCTCCAGGGAGAAAACAAAAAGCTGTTCCGGTTAATCAAACCCCCAGGTCAAAGGGATCAAAACTTATAAAGAGGTGAATGAAAGATTATTGTTGGGCTGGCAACAAAGTAATCACTTATTTTTTCAACTATTTTAACTTCAAGAAGGCGCCAGAGGAGATGCAATGCCAAATGCCGCACTTTTACACACGTACAGGTCCGAGTTCGAATCTCTTGTCGATATCCGCCTAGGCCAAAAAAGTCTCCATGCCTCCGCAATCGGTCAATTGATATCAGAATCGTCTGGGAGGATAAAAGCACTGACTTGTACATTGGCTGGCCACCGCAGCTCATTGTATACGCCACATTCAACACGACACTACGATTCTGAACGGAAATTGAATGCGGGGCGCAAACCCACAAAATTGATTAGTGCTCGAAGACCTTCTTCTATTCATCAGTTCATCTTTAAGGGCAACTACCTTTTCTTTAAAATGATACCCATAGATCAGGGACCTGAGTATTTTTTGGTCATGGTATAAATGAGTATTTTTTGTAAAAAAAGGTAACCGAAACTACTCAGGCGCCAGCCTGAAGTGACAACTTCGAACGCTTTCCTTTACTAAGCACCCTTCGATCGCGTCAATTGAAAAGATCGGGGAGAATGTCGAAATCTGGATTGATGATGCATATAAGCGTACATATTACCTCGATGATTGCCGGAACTACTGCAAATCATTGCCAACTAGTATATAAACCCTCTTTACCACGTTATCATCATGCCTGCGATGAAGGCATAGTCCACTATAGTATTGAGATGCCTAGTCAAAGTAAAATAATAGTAGAAGGTGTGCCGCAGAAAAGTGCAAAGGTAGCGAAGAAAAAAACGTGAAATCGGCCGATTTCAAGGAAATGGGCTTCCAGAGAAGTAGAAAAAATATGTTCTAATGATTATGGCGACAAAGTATACATAGGAGGGGAATTAAGACGAGTTGCCAATTGTGAGCCACTGCGTCGAGCTGGCTACAGTAAGTCAAGAATGCCAAAGATCGCTTATCACTGCCGCCATGGGTCACGACGAGATCGAATTTTTTTGTGTACTCCATTAAGAATGGTCCAGCTCTTTAGGGTTCCAGAAGCACGGCTATCTTTGGGTACAGGCTTGTAACTGATACAATCTTTGAGCCCTTACCACACCATATCTAATTTGTGGAATGTACTAGCACTATGTATGATCATCATTCTGACTGCTTCGCCACCTACAAGACGCAGTGAGGATTTCTCAAAAGAGGAACGTAACGATTCAGAGACCGGAGTAACCCTTATGGGAGCAGAAAGGAGCTGGGTTTTGCAAGGAACTGAAAAAAAAAGTTAGACTGAAAAGAACCTCACGAAAAAAAGAATTAGGCAAAAATGAAGGAAAGAAGGGTAAGGGGGAGGGGGGAACTACATAGAACAACTTAGACAAAGAAAATAAAACACTTAAAAGTTATCTGAGCATCTTGCATTTCAGAAAGTTTGGTCTCCTAAACAGGTTAGCGCTGTGCTGCTGATATGAATACCCTCTAAACTATAAACGACAACACGGTAATAGGTTGAGCTGCTTAGCAACCATTTCATGATTAAAACGCAATGACAGGTTTTTGGTGTCGTTCAGTAATATAAATGATTTAGGAGATTTGTGATTACCCTTATAAACATTTCATGAAGATAGGAATTTTGCTGGTATCCCAGGTGGTATCCGAGATGGACATGACTAAAAGAATCCTGAGCTACAGGGAAATGCTAGTAGCTTCAGCGTGGGTATACTTTCGAGTTCCGCCCTAACCCAGGGTTTTGCGCAGAACTGAGCGGATTTTGAGCTACATTCTAATCACAAACTGAGACAAACAGTAATGGTAAGTAGTGGTAGTGAACGATAATCAGCTGTAATAAAACAAAAAGTTTCAAGTGAATATCCTCTTACTTAACTAAACGTATTAAGCTGAACGAGGCTTTCAAGATTTCAAAGCAATTCTCAGGAATCCTAAACTCTCAGAACTTTTCGAGGAGTTCTTCTTTCAGAACTTTTCAGGAGTTTTCTTGGAAAAGTCCTGAGAATTCAGGCACTGAGAGGATATCCTGCAGATCAATCAACGGGGTAATCGTCTGGACAGCCGGGTTCTTCCTTTAGGATTTTCCAAAACTTTTTCTGGAAATTTCTGAGAGCTCAAACACAGAAAGGATATCCAGTGTGTAGTTCAATCAACCGCTAGACGGAAGGAGTTCGACGGAATTCAAAAACCATTACAAGTGCTAGAATTCAGGGAACTATCGTAGCGAAAAGGACAAAGGTGATTGATTGCATTCTTCATTGCAATGAAGTTTCCAAGAAGAAAATATAGTTTGATATCTAAAATAGCGGAAAAGGAAAGGACACGACGGAAAAAACATCTCAAAAGGAGGCTCAAATGATGGAAAGGAAACGACAGGTCAGGAGAAGTATTCGTAGTGGCATAAGGCGCCAACGAATCTACTTTACCCGATCACCTATGGGATCAAATACTGCTCATGACAAGA